TTTCTTCAAATTTTCACTCAGGAGAAAAAAATCAGCCTTTAATCTTGAAATAATGATTTGACATTTATCGTGATAAATATTGATATAGAATGATATGAAATGTTTTTATCGTGACATTTTTGGCCACATGGGCCCAACCCTGGTTACCAGCAGCCTCAGAGTACTGTTTCAACAAATAAAATCGTTCTTGTATAATGTCAAGGCTCATGGGTTATTTCAACTAAGGAACATACCGAAACACACTAAAACAGGTTACTTACCTGCAGATACTTCAAATTTAAAAGCGTTTAGGTGGCATATAAAGGGTCTGAGTCCTGCTCCAATCTGCAGTACTTTCTGATACTAGCTTAAGTAACACATTGGGTTTTCTAACAAGCTGTCTTCAGACCTGAAACATGGCACTGGCGGTTTCTATCCATATTCTGATTACCATTTTAACAAAGATAACAGTGATTATTTTGTCAGTATTAAATCTCCCATTAGTCTTCACACGCTTTCACAGCATCACGTGGACTATAGTTTTTGAATGAACGGTTCGAAAATGATCATCGTTTTGTTTTGAACCCCCATATTTACTTTATATAGGAACTGTGTACACATTGAATAAAGTTTTATAACGCACTATAATGTTTGTGTTTATTAATGTACAGTAACAATTTTCCTATGAAGACTTATTTTATAATATTACAAATGTATTTTACTATGTTGTCATTTATTATCTGTTTATACACCAGCATCCACTTGCTTCACAGGAGCAGTTATAGTACAAATATATTAATAAACACTTACAACTACACTGTAGTGTAGGAATGTTTATAGTGTTTGTAAATGCTAAATTGGGATGAGGTTTAAAAATGTTTGGTATTTAACTCAGAAATGGATAGAAAACCTCAGAAATTTCTTTTATTATGTAAATAGTGTGGTCCTCCAAGAGAAAACACATTGAGCAATAAAAGTGGGTGTTACAGTGTGTCTCCTTTCCTTCGATCTTCTCTGTCACAGTGACATCACCCTTCGTTACAAAGAGACGCGTCAACGCAAACATGAAGTCCCCACGGACCGGGACCGTCCTCTGGGCAACGGCAGCACAGCCACCCCGTCTGGGCGGAGTAAACTGAATGGCAGCTCCGAGACTCTGCGGCAGAGGAAGTCCTGAAGGTGGTGGTGGGGGACGTGAGTCGTAACCCGGTCGGCCAGCAGCAGCTGAGGAGTGAAGTTCAAGGTTTGATGTGAAAAATGAAGGAGAATCATGACACAAAGGCACAAATGGACACATATGTGCTGTGTAGACTTAATTTGTGCCTACACACTAAGTAGTCATTCAGCAGGGGCGAGGGAAGGGGCAATTTTCATTTGGTGCATTGTCTAGTTATTGTCTTACTACAGGGATTTACCTCATTCTATTTTTTAAGAACATTTGGGGAATTATACACAGGGCAAGATACATTTGTGTTATTTATACATTACTTTGGATGTTTGGTGATGAGGAGACAAAAAGAAAACACTGAGTCAAAGAGAGGTAGCGTAGTGGAAGGAGGGATATAGGCGACCAGGGAAGTAGAATAGATAGACTCTTGATCAATAATCGACAGCCGTTTTCATTTTCTCAGCTGTCGTAGAAAACAAGAGGTAAGCACCAGGAACGTGTCCGCCATTGTAAATATGCTTCGCTCGGTGTTGTGCAGATGAGAAAGTATAGTATTTGGAGCAGTGAGGGGTTTCTGTAGGTGTAGGTAACAGATGTTCAGTATCAACCTGGGATTTTCGTCACAAACTTGCCAAGCAGTAGTTTAAATGGTTAATAACACATTTCTGTTATGTTAAGTTAAAATAACACTTTTTTTGTCTATTGATTCCCATGCATTTTTGACCGTTTAAGACAGTACTCTTTTCTTTGATTTGGTCCCAAGCTTGTGATGCATTGTTTACATATGGGACTCGATATCAGCTTTTTATTTACAGATCAGGGTTCTTATTCCTGGGAGCACTGAGTTTGGAGGTCCTTGTCACTGCTGGGGAACCTCCCTCAGGCTGACATGGAGAGGAGAAACTGGTCAAAGCTTTTCTCTCCTCACATGCTTTGTTCTTGAAAAGAACATCAAGTTTGTAAAGAAACAAAATCAAATTGTACGATATTCTAGGTATTTAACTGCTGATATTCTACATGATATATTGGATATAGTATGGGTGTTTTTGTAGATGTTTTGTTATCACTGTTGTTATTTTCTTTAGGGTAACTCAATGATGAACACTAGATTGTACTCAAGTTCCTTGAAATGAAGTACTGAGAAATCTGAAGCACTCAAATGAATACATCCATGACAATCACACTGGCGGAAAGCTGCACTCCGTTTTCCTCCACTGTAACAGGACTGTAAATAAAGCTGTGCTCATTCAGTCACATCAGAACATGAATTTAATATTTGATTTCTTTCATGCCAAATGTTTTTTATTTAACTTGGTGTGTTCTGCTGTGTCTGAATAAGCTGAAACAAAATGAAAACCAACCTTATCTTAAGAGGGTGAAATGAAGGTTTAGGTGTGGTTTGGTTTGGGAGAACCAACTTTTCCAGCTCCGTGGGGTTTACCATATTGCACATGAAAACAAGCCAAAGCTTAGATCTCAATCTTGCTAAAACCATAAATGCCACCCAACCCATCCGAGATGCCCAAACAGCCGTTTAAGCCTCATTTCAATTCCTTTTCATTTAGACTAAAGCAGACTCTCAAAGCCGCCGAGGTCAGTCATGTCAGCTTACAGGTTTTATGTTACAAAAGAAAACTGACACCTGGAGGTCAGACCACTAGGAAAAAAAATATTTGGGCAATAAAGGCATTTTAAAAGGCCTCAACTCCCTTAATTCACTAACATTAAATGTCTGTCTAAATATGTGGTCGATTAGTCGACACAAAAGTTATCCACAACTATTGTGATCGATTCGTTTTCTTTCTTTCAAGCAAATGGAATTTGAAGACGTTATAAATTATTAAACTTAAAATGGCCGTTTTTCTATTTTTGTTTTTATCTATAGACAAAACAGTTAAAAGTTAGTCAAGAAAATAACAGGCAGAATAAGTGATAATGAAAATAAGTGTTAGTTGCAGCCTTAGTTAGATGTTCTGATCTTTTCATAATGATACAAGAAAATAAGATTTATGTTGAAAAAAAATCCAACTTGGAAAAACTGAAAATAACTCCCTTGCATTCCAGTCTGATTGGATTTCCACTGTTCCCAAAATGTCTCCCAGAGAGCTTTAGTCTTTGTCCTGTAGCTGTCAGAGAAAGGAGTTGTGAATTTCTGTGTGCTACTCATTGTGTCCCAGTGGCTGCATACTACATAGTTGACAAATTATGACATCTGTGAACCTAGCTCCAGAATGTCCTGTTTTAACCTAGGCTCATGTTAAATGTCACTATAGTAATTATCATGTGAAGGTAATCCAGCAGAATTTGCTGTTCAAATGAGAGGGTCTGCTTATATGTATCAGTTTATTTAGTCATAAACACTAAACTGAAGTTTCTCCTGCTAAATCAGGCTGCAACTGTTTGCATATTTGACCTTCTTTTTTGGACACAGAGATTGCTGTGCAAATTTAAAACCCTAAAAGCGATGTAGCTAATATTTCAAAGTTTGTACTTGTTGTCCTGTGCTAATTCTGTCACTTGTGAACTTTTGTAGAAGTTAGGGAAGTTTGCTTCCCCCCCCCTCCTTTAACTAAATGCTTTTTAGATGGGGGCTGGGGATTCATTGTGTACCCGTGTCCAAGTGCTTTCATTTGAAATCGCTGAAGACTTAAACAGGCCCAAGTCAAGAATTTGCACATCAGATCTGAAATCACAAAATGGTGAATTCAGAAACTAAACCCATAAATGAGCTGCAGAACAAAATAGGAAGTGGTCCCCCCCAAAAAGGACAGAAGGTTTTGAGGGTTCAGTGTAGTTTCACTTGTAGCCACATGGGGGCGGTAGGTGTTCTTACTGTCTCTGCCCGGTGTTCCTGTCTCAATCATTTACAACTTGCTGTAAAAGCCATTTTCAACATAGTTTGTGTAAATGTGAAGATGTTAAAGGTCATACAAACTGAAATATGCTGCTGCACTACTTACTTTTATAATGTTTTCAATAAAATAAGCTGAAAATCTGATTTTAGTCTGCTTAATTTTTTAACAAATCATGTCACAAAGAGGGGTAAAGAAATATAAGATTAAATTTTAAAGTACAAACAGCGTTTCATCTGTTGTGGCTTTGTGATGGTACTTCTGTTGAATTTACTCCCTGGAGACAAAGGCTCACTGTTTACAGAAGCTGTTTTCTGTCGCCACGCAAACAAAGATTCCACTGGTAAGGCAAATAGGTTGTAAAGCAAAACCCTGGAACCATGCACTCCATTTTGAAGTTGAGTAGCAGACAATTGTCTTCCTTTTCCTCTTTCACATATTTGCCACAATAGAGAAAATAATGCTGATCAAGCTATATTTTGGCTGAGTCATGTTCATTTATTGTGGAGTTGCCCCTCTACAATTTCCTAGCGCTTTCACCAACTACCTTACTCGTCATTGGGCGGCTACTGGCTCAGGTGCTAGAGCAGATTTCCCATTGATCATAACATTGAGTTATTCAGGTAAGTTGAACACGCACAAACGCAATTCAACATAGATGAAGATTATCATTTCTAATTATAAATTAAATAGATTTTAAATTAATAGATATTTACTTGGGTTTAAAAGGAGCAGTTAATCCAAATTTTTCTGGAAATCTGAGAAATTTGACTAGTCTATATTTTTATATTAAGTAGTACCAGATAACAGTTCTTTCCAGGAAAGGTTTGAAAAGGTTTAAAGAAACCTCCACATAAAATGTTCAACAAGTGCAGATCATTTACTTTTTATGAACAGATTAGGTAGATTTGTTGTAATTCCTCTAGTATCTGACATGAAAAAAACCATTTCTTTTAGTTTATAGCACAATGTATCCAATGAGGAGCCTAATAAATCCAAGATTTCAGGAGTGAAGTCCTACTTCTCCTTTATTGCATAGTTTCATCCATCCCTCACCAGATTTTCTTACAACAAATCCCTCTGCAGGCACATCAAAACTGATTAGAATAAACTTGCATAGCCCAGTAAACTGCAATGAATCCCAGGAGGAAAATCCATCTTATGTGATGCATTTAATTCCTGGGGTTTCTTATGATATAAATACTGTAGTTCTCACACATCTCTTATAGTGCATTCATCAGTACAAAACTCTTTCTGGACTCCCTGAAGCAGCTGGAGTGTATTTAAAAATCACCCCTAAAAGCATTACAAAATGCTGTTACAACAGACAAAGCAGTGCATTGAATATACTCAGCGCTTTGAGCGTAAATTGTATTGTGTAGTACGGAGGGGTGTAAAAGGAATGATTTCACAATCAAAAGACGAAAATAATAGAACATTTTGTGCTCCCCAAAAAACTGCTCAGAATATTATTTATGCCTGAGATCTTCTTCTGAAGATGTACCATGGCCACTTTGGTTTAAAGTTTAAAAAAAAAACATCAGCCTAGCAAGCTGGATGTTATTTGGTGATTTTATGATAAAAAGGCACAACATGAATGTTCTAAGTCACGGTGGAATCAGATCGAACAGTAAATGCAATGCAAAAATGTGCAAAAATAGTGTCAATGTGCTCAGTCTCATCCCACATAATGAAATACCTGTATGACAAGGATGTTTAGATCTCTCAACCAAAGCTAAAGAATATAAAATCTGGTACTATAAAAGACAAAGATCAAAATAAACCGGTAACTGTGTGATTCTTTTTCAGTAACTGACAGGATACTGGTTAGCCGCAACTTTAGAATCCAATAGCTGCCTATTTTCAGGGTCAAAAGAAACTTGTTGACTTTCAGAAAATATTTTGCCTGAAACGTATTCTGAAAATGAAAATGGCCTCTGTTCTATTTCTATGATCTGACCAGTTTGAAGCCTTGCCCAGTGTCCAGGATCGCTGGTGGAAACCAGTTGAGTTTGACTCTCTTGAGACATCGCACGCAGACGCTGCAGAGCCACAGCACGTTCAGACCACCGCACCACAGCGCCAACTGAACCACCGGGTACGTCATCCGAGGAAAGTACACGCTCCAGTGGCTGGTGACATCGCTTCCTGTCGGCAGGTGCAGAGTGTAGTCGCTCCAGTGTTTGGAGATGCCGTAGTCGGCAGAAATCAGCCTGCCCCTCTCAGACCACTGGATGTTGCTGTTTAAGTTGCAGTTATACTCCACCCACTGAGAGGTGAAATCTCCAAGCTGAGGGGGGTCCTGCTCCACGTCCCTCACACGAGCGAGCATTGCTCCCTGCACGGCCGCATACAGACCCTCCACCTTCCTGATCTCCTTCACCCACGGCAAGGAGTTGTCACAGTCGAGCACCAAGATGAGGCGCGAACAGAAGCTGCCGTTCTTCTCCCTCCACCACTCCAAGATCTGCTCCAGACGAAGAGTGTCACCTCCTGATGAGGAACACGGAAACCAGCTGATTACAGACCACAGAGAAACAAACTACATATGTGGAGAATAAGTTTCCCAGGTTACTAGAAATCCCGCTGACGGTAAGAAGACAGATTCAAAGTGTGACCTCGGATTCATTCTGGTTTGTTTTCTAATTCTGAAATTGCGCAGAACAATCTTGTAAATTAAGATGTGGCCAGAATTTTAGTTTAAAACATTCAAAAAATGAACTAACCTTGAATGAAATAACAGTTCTGGAAGATGTGTGCAAGCGGGGAGTTCGCTACACTACACAAGCTCTCTTAGCTTTTTTAGTTTAATAGTTCAATAAAAAAACAAATCAACTCTAAAACTGTCAAAGGAATATTCATACACCTATTTTCATTATTAAACAGAAAAATACAGTTGTACACTTGAAATCAAGTTTCTCTCGGTCACTGAATTAATTGCCAAGTTTCCTCTGGCCTAAATACTACCTGAGAGCTTTTTCCACTGTGTAACAAAATTCTGAGGGAAATTGGAAAATAAAAAGCATTAAATTTGGAGTACTTTCTATACAACTGATTATCCAGCCTAACTTCTTATTATATTACCATTCAAATACCCTTACTAATCATAACTGCTTCGACTAGATGCCCCCCTCACCTGCCAGTGCCCACTCTCCAGAGTGGTGACTATGCCCGCTGTAGAAGATCACGTAGGTGTCGTGGCGAGGCCCGTCTGCTGTGCGAAGCTCCAAGAAAGATTTGATCTTGGCCTGCAACGCCTCCAGGGTCACCCCACTGGTGGAATAGTCGCAGCCAAAAGCCTCAATCAGGTGGTGGGCGAAAAAGCGCTGCACATTGTTCAACATGCCTGTAGAGCGCCGGTTCAGCTCCTGCACCTGGCCTGGAGGCAGCAGCGTGGGCTGACCGTCAGGACTGCACGGCAGACAAAAATAAGACACAGGCGGAAAGCGAATGAATCACGTCCATCTAGTACAGTCATTCAGCACAAGTCGGAGAGAATTCATGAATACACAGACAGTCCTGCTGCCTTTCACTTACAACTCACTGGTTGCAGGAATGTAAAATTTGACTGCTGACAAACCTGTAATTATAGATCTTATATGGCTAAAAAACTTAAAACTTGAATCACTGTGCAGGACAAAGCACAGAACAGCTATGTCTTACTGTTGTGTGGCAAGATACGCTCTCAGGAATAACACACAAAATACTGATTTTAAAGCTAGGAAATAATTTAATTTACTTCTTACAATTGTCTTCATATCATGGGATTTGACAGTCTACCTAAATTTGGCTGGTAGCCTTATTGTTTTCTTCTCTTACAGTAGTTATGCATTACACACTACCTGCAGTAGTTGGTGGGGATGACCACTGCATAACCCACGCAGGTTCCTCCCAGGCTGCTCCCGAGCTCGTGGAAAAGACCGTGGAACAGAGACTCCAGAGGCAGGACTAACAGGAACATACTCACAAAGATACTGCTGGAGGCCTGCAGAGCACATTCACTAGTCAATTCACAATTGAGTCACGCTACACTGACAGAGTATGACCTATGAGTGTGAAGGAAAGTGCTGTTACAAACTAACGTGAATCTACATGGAATTCTGAAACATTTTAGCAGAATATAATACATTTATTTAGCTGAGAATAAGAATATGCTCCTAAAAGTTCTCACTGTGAAATAGCGATGTGGAGTAGGTGTAATAAATAAGTAATACAAATAGTTTATATTGTATTGTTCAGTTTAGGAGACTCAAATCAAACCAAAGGGGAAATTGAGAAATTAAGCAATTAAAGATGACTTTTAAGAACACGTAATGTAAATGGAAGGCACATTCTCAGATTGTCCCTAAAGTGTGGGACCCCCACAAGGATTTGCAAAATGATTAACAAGAGAGGAAAGCAGAAAAACACTATTTCTGCTATACAAAATTATATTTACTTCCCCGACTTTTCTCAAATCTTCAGACATATGCAACCAATAATGAGGGGTCCCAAATAAACACTCATTTCAAGGAATCTCATGCCAAAAAGAAGGAAATGGTGGTCTAAAAGGACATGACAACGTTATGACCACAAGTGGACTTCCTCCCTAACTGTGGTCGAAATATTGTCATGTCCATGTTGAATAAAATGAGAACTAGGAATTAGATAGCAGTGTACAGTGTTTTTTTTTCCTTTTGTGCAGAACAGATTATTGCAAATAATTTATGGATGTGTGTGTGCCTCCAGATGATTAACTGCTGTTGCATCATTAACAATGAAATTATATTATTTCCATATTTGCACCACGTTGGATTTATACAGCCCTGTGGTATTCAGCTGATCTTGTGTGGTACCTATAAAAAAAAAAGGAAAAAATACATGTTGTCTGGCTGCCTTTACCTGCCAACACAGAGCAGCAACAGCAACCGTTGACAGAAGCGTGAAGAGCACCAGGCGTTCAGAGATGAGGCAGAAATGTCTCATGCCCTTCGAGGCCATAACCTTGTCCAGGCCGCTGACACCTGACCCCTGGGACAAGCACACTCTCTGGCAGTCACTGAGCTTCGTGTGAAAGCCCCACACTGTGATGACAAACACCATGTGGCAGATGGCCCAGAAGAACGCACAGACCACGATGCCTGGGATCATGAGGTACCACTGGTCCAGACCTGTCAGCTTCCGAGCGGCCAGAACGATGAAGGTCACTTCCACCATCATCAGAGGCAGGAGAGACAGCCGGCGCCACAGGCCCCGCCACACCAGGAAAGGCTGCCAACGCTCGGTCACAGAGAGACCACTGAAGTAGACATCCAGCAGGGGGTCGCAGATGAGCTGGCTGAAAAAGCAGGCGAGCGCAAAGGGGTTGATGGTGATGTTCAGGGACTTGAAGAACAGCACGCCGGTGATAACAGCGAAGCAGGCCAAATTGGGAAGAGCCAGGAGAGCCTTCATACGGAGGGCAACCATGACCGTGGCCAGCGCCACCACCAACACCATCACGCTCCAGGACTTGTGCATGAGCAGAGCCGTGCTGGCGGCGGCAAAGCCCGCCAGCTCCTGCCGCTCTGCCGAGGTGAGGAAGGCAGGACGGTACCTGGTACATCCAAACAGTCTCTCCAGCAGCGCCCACAGCGTCCTCAGAGCCACACTTGCCAGCAGCAGGTAGTTGGCCACCTGCTCCTTCAAGTCGCTCTCCAGGTCGGGACTGTTGAGGAAACACTGCAGGCCCAGCAAAAAGCCGAACCACAGGTGGAGGAGACTGAGGCTGATCCTCTCCATGCTGAAGTAGTAGTACACAATACAGGATATTCCGAGGACGATCAAAGCCAAAACGAAAATGACAAGAAGAGTAGATTCCGCTGTGCTCTCCCACCGGGCATATAGGCCCAAACAGAGGGCGACCAGCAGGTTGAGACCGGACAGGTAGCCCAGCCACCGGACAGACGACCACATGCTCACATCTCCGTTGACCTCCTCCAGCCGGGTCATCGCTGCATGAAGGCAGTGGCTGACACAGTAGCGCAGAATACGACACATTTTGATATGAAAGACTAGCGTTAACCATCCAAAGCCAGAAGCAGGTACTTTGATGAGTTATAGTCCGTTTGCTGTCCGTTGCGACACCAAAACAAACTTTAGCTAGCTAACTTGTTGAGAGTGGCTAGCTTAGTTACCGTTAGCACGGATAAACATTTAACATACATCTTGACGAGCGTTGGTTTTGTTTTCATCTGATGTCCGATGCGGTTTTAAAACTTCTAAGACATAGTGCCCAGACACCAGCTGTCAGTTGTTTGCAAGACATATTACTTCAAAAAGTTAGGCACGACAAAAGTTGAGTCAGATGACAGGCGCCATGACGCTGACTACGGCAAGTAGTGAGAGTCAAACGCGTTTTGCCAAAGTTAATGTATTTTATTCGATTTTCATACTAAATCAGTTTGGCTTTTACATCTAAATGAGATTACTTACATTTTCCGGAGCATTCTATCGCATCTCTCGAATATCGTTTCTCCAAAAATGAACTTTTACAACCAAGAATGAGAGGCAACTGAATAAAACAAAAATTGTACCAGTTCTATTTCCGTTTTATGTTCCTGATTTGAGGAGGTTTTGGGGAATAACTCACACAAGGTTATTTCTGCCTACTGCTGAAGCACTTTAGTCAACAATACTCAATTAAGCAGCAGCTGCAAAAGGCCCATTCTTGGCTCAAAATGTAAGCAAAATACTGAGGTCATGAGTTCAATTCTCCCCATTGCAACCATACCTTCCTAAGAAAAAGGAAAGAAAAATAAATCCTGTAAAATTGTCTTTTAATATCTGTATTTTGTCCACATTCAGCTGCTGCTGCAACACTGCAATTTCACTTCGGAGATGAATAAAGTGCCTACTTATCCATTTATCTATCTATTTACCTTATAGTTTCTTTTTTTTCTTAAGGTAGTAAGGTTTATTGGACTTTCAGTGAAATACTAGAACTGGCTGGTAAAATACCCACCACCTGTAAGTTTTAAGTGTAAACTTAACTCCTGAAAAAATATACATGAAGACCCAGCCTCTGTGTCAAAATGGCCTCAAAGGCTAGGTATAATACAAATAATGTTCAGTATTACTACATGCAATGAAATAATGAGGCCTCATGATACAGGCCGCCGTGTCTTCAATTGTTACTGATGTTGACAAACATCCCTTCCTAACTTCATTAGCAGTACACAGGGCAGTATTTTTAGGTGTTCAAAAGTAAAAACATACAGTACACACAAACAAACCCACACCGTCACCTTACGTTTACATTCATTTATAAAAGAGAAATACAAACATACTATAAGCACACGTTGTTCTGCATTGTTGAAAATGCTGATAATGTAGATGAACCATCTCATGCAAATGGAACCAAAGAAAGACTGGAAGACAAATGCACCAATTAATCACAAAACACTCTTCTTCAAAGTCTGATTTTGTATGGTACCGTTTCTATGAAAACAGGAGATATCAGCAGAGGGATGTGCATCAACTGGAAAACGATATGGCAACAACACACCGCATTACATCAACACTGGAAATGTTTCTTGTTAACCATTAATATGACAAAAGGAGACGGTTTGTATGTACTGTTTGGCTAGAGAAGCTTGATATTGTTTTGTTACAAAGGTATGAGTTTCGTTTTCTCCAGGGGCATGAAAGTCTGCTCGCAACATACAGCAAATGTGAACAAAGAAGGCACCTTCGACTTAATGGTATTATTATGGGCCCATCATATTGGTTGTAAAACCGTCATCATAGGAAAATAATTACATTTTGTGACACTCTTTGGGATCAATGATAAAGTGCCACAGACAAAACACACACCAACACAAATTCATTCCTCCATACACAATAACAAACCCAACCATACTCACACATTTAGCCTGCACAGGGACAGGCCGGAACACACGCTAACATTTCACCTGGTAGTGTCTTTAGCTAAAACCTCCCCCAGTAGGATACAGTATCTTCAGATCTGGAATCCCTTGCTATTGCTAAAATCTTCAGTTTCTCACCCGTTTCAGAGGTTCTGTATGACAAAACAGAAAATTAGTGCAAATCTTTCTGTCGAGGTGAATTTTCTGACTGTGATCAGTTCAGAACTGGATCTTTTTGGAGGCAAAGTACTGTATTTTCACAAAGTTACAAAATTGTGTCAAAGGATACTGGTGCTGTAAAGTCAGTTTGATACTACTTCTCTTTGATTGGGAACAACAACAATGTATTGGAAATATATCAGGAGATAATTCTGTATTAATATTTGTGGGGACAACGAGGAGGAGGAGAAAAGTGTAATACCTACTTTGAAACACTCGTACCTTGTTACACAATGAGTAAACACAGCTACAGTTTCACATTAGTAAACCTAGTAATACACCTACTGTATGTTTCTGAAAATGTTTAAAATGCTACAAATACCACTTTCTTGTAAAAGATACACAAATCATTTAGAGGATGCCAAGTTAAAAGGGCACTGCCACACGTAACACTGGACAACACCAATGTTTTGACTGTTGAGAATATATATTTCAAAACAACAAACTTTCTTTTTTTTTGTCTTGGAAAACTAAATGCACATCAAGAATTTTCAGAAAATCTAGCTGCATGATTGCAACATAAGCAAGCGTACCAGTCCAGTTATTCCATTTCAGTCTCTCCAGTGCAATCATACTCCTGTCAGACCACTCGGGTTGCTGTATTTGCGTTTTTGTACTAAGCCACCTGCCACTCTAGCTTATTCAAATAGAAACTGAGTACAGAATGTAGAGAAGCTGACTTTTATTATTGAGAGCTGATTGGAAGATGGGATGGAAATCAATGAGCAGGGAGTTTAGATATCTTAAGGGCATTCACTTTCCAACTTTTAAAAAACCTAGATATTTATCAAAATATATCCATCTTAGTGTGTGTGTGTGTGTGTGTGTGTGTGTGTGTGTGTGTGTATGCGTCTATGTGTGTGTGTGCTCTCAGGAGTGTGGATATGAGAAAATAATCTGTAAACTTCGGTCTTTCACACTGTGCAAACTGCATTGTTTCGAGGACAGGGAGGAGAAGTCGGAGAAGAATGCAGCAGGTTAAATTTGGCAGCGCAGCAGTTGAAGGGGAGGTTACAGTTATGTAGAGAAAAGTGGGGTGGGGTAGCTGGTTTAGCCTAGCTCTGAAGCAGGATGGGGTCTTCTAGCTCATAGAAGCCAGGCACTGAGCTGCTCTGGCTCTCCCCAGAATCTGAATCATAGGGCGTGTCAGGTAGCTCCGTGAAGCCCCAAGCCAGCTGGTCATCCTCAAACTCGGAGCGCACCTGCACGGGCACGTCGGCACACTCTTCCTCCTCATTGGAGTGGAAGTCCTGAGGGATGTAGAGCATCTCAGGGTAGTTGCGGGACACCAGGTCACTGGTGGTGGCAAGACACACCTTACGGAAGGCGATGAGATGCATGTGGGAATACTTGACGTATTTGTAGCGCTTGAAGCCCAGCGACTCCACCGCGACGCGCCAGCTGCGCATCATGAGGGCATGGCGGTTTTGGTGGGAGGAGTCGGGCGTGATGATGAGCAGCAGGCCGTGCAGCTCCAGCAGCTCATGGGCCTTCTTGCAGCAGATCCAGCGCTGGTATGGTGAGGGAAAGTAGGACAGGAGCAGGGAGAAGACCACCACGTGGAAAAGCTGGGCAGGCAGGCTGTCGATAGGGTTGTGGAGCTGGCGGAGGAAGGCCTCTACCGCGTCACCTGCCAGCTGGAGAGGCTGCTGGAGCTGAAGGTTGAGGAAGTCACACTTGTACACACTCTGAAGGCGAGACAACAGGCAAAAAGTCTGCACTTACAAATGGTTCAAAAGGTGATCTTTTGCACTTTCTCTTGAACTTTCATTGTCATTCTACCTATGCACCGTCTCCTTGCAGCTGCAAAATGCAAGGCGCTTTTTGTTCTGCTTTCTGAGGAATGTGTTCACACAGACCGTCTAACCACAACGCTGATACTCCTGCATGAGTCATTTCTGCTGCTGCTTTGACTGTAATGCCAGCACCGAGCCACCAGACAGGAAGACCTCAATGCATTTTCTTTTTGTCAACAAAGATATAAAATATGTTGTCACTGAAAAGTGAGCAGAATAAATAAGCACTCATACCTCAACTGCAGGCACTATGTCAATACCAACTGTAAGGAATTCATCAAACTTCAAGAAAGGGTTGAAGCAGCTTCCCACGTCAAGAAGGCGCATTTTCCCCAGCTGAGAGATTGAACTACAACACAAAGGGGAAGAAGTGTCATTGTCAATAGCTTACTGTCAAACCAACATGCAACTTTTGCATGTATTTGTCTTGCTGCAACCGAAATGTTAAATTTAAATAAAACATCTGGTACAGTGAAAAACAAACATATTTACGTAATTAGCTATCATAGTATAATACTATAATATAACAATATAGTAATATTATATAACAAAATGTTTTCTACAACCTTATCAAGACAAAAGTATTATGTTAACTTTCACATTGGATTATTAGGGCAGACACTTGATCCACATGTATTTACTAAGCATTTCAAAAATTTAATGGAAACTACAGAAATCATGAGCTGTGTGAGTTTTTGTACCCCTGGTGTCAGAACACAAGGATACAGATGGTCTGCATGGAAAAACTGTTTTTGTATACAAAAATTTAATCATGAACAAGACACCCTTACTGCTGGGCAGATCATCATGAAGTTTGGTATGGACCTACGTGGTCCTCGGAGGAGGTTTTTGCCTGTACATACGCTATCTCAACATTTAATGGCAATCATTATGTAAGTGGCATTTTAAACAATTACGCCTGACTAAATGTAGGCTTTTAATATAACTTTTCACCTTTCACTGCTGAAGAGTGCTCAAAGAATGTTTTCTTTTCTGTTCACATTACACTTACTGATTATTTTCATGCTACCAGATTGAGCTTGGGATGATGCTGAGGTCAAACTTTACATTCTATTCCAGCAGCGAGGCTCTAATAAGAGCAACAATCATCAGTATATGTAAGTATTCTGCGCTTTTATATTGCATGTAATATACACTTCAGACTGTAGGGGTCACTATCAGGGCTTTGGAATTGTAGAAAAGTTGTGGGCAGCTTGAAAATCCATCAAACGACAGATCCACAGTTACTGTCACTATAACAGTAAAGAATGTGGATTTCTTGCAAGAAAGATTCTATAAATATTATTATATAGGTCATACTTTATACAAGTGCTGTGCAGTATGAAATTGGGAAATACACTCTTGTTGTTGCTACAACTTACCTGGGCATGGTGCTATACGGTTGGACACTTACAGATGCTGCAGTCAGACCCATGGCAAGCGTGGC